TAGACCATTTCTAGCTTGCATTATTTCTGAAAGCAAAAAATGCTAGAAAATATGAGAGGTCTAGAAATACAGGTTTCTATAGTTCATATTATTAATGTAGTGGATCTAGAGGTATTTGAGGCTATGGAGGAAAAGAACTACTCAGTCTGTAGAGATACAATATTTTATAAAGTCTGCATTAAAGAGTTCCAAACATTATAGGAATTCCTTCTGAGCCAAATGTAAGAACAATGGCAGCACAGGCACAACTCAGTAAAATCCTTGTGGCAATTAGAACATCCTTTGATGCCACTACAAAAATCATAATGATGACTCTAAATTTCGTTAAAAATCATTTCATGTATGTCAATAGGTGAGTTTAGAAATTTTGTTTTGTTAACATATTAGGTTAGCCTATGACAGTTTTCATTTACTTTGTACATTTTTCTGAGGACAGCATTACAAAAGATATATACTGTGAAGAAAAATTTTCTTCACACGGGATATAATCTTCATGGTATCTTTTGCTATAATAAATCACCTTGAATTCTCTACAATAAAGGTTGTAATTCAATGATAAATCCATTGTTTTTTATTAACATCTTGTTGTCAAAGTATTAAATAACGAGCTTTCTTTTAGATTTTCCACGGCTCCATCTAGTAAAAGCTGGGAGCTTTTCAGAGACATATTTCTATGTTAGTAGAGGCTTCCCACATGTGTAACAGTTAATTAAGCCAAGCCTTTCTATTTCACAGTTGAAATAAAGGTTCCAATTATTATACATAAATAGCATAATTTCAGCATATGCCTTTTGCTTTATTTTGTGCCTCTTGGTAAATATTATCCTGGTGTTAAATATTTAAGAATATAATATAGAGCTGTGTCATATTGTAGCAGCTTCCTTGTAGAGGAATGAAACATCATCTTTTAATTGAGTTACATTTGTATTTTATGAGGATCAAGAGATCCTTATTTATTAACCATGCTTATGTTGAGCATGTATTCGCAAGTAAGAAGGAAGCTGTGCTAATGTACCTAAAGATTCTTATCACTGATTTCATTGGTCCTGTGGGAAATGCATGGAGGGTAGGGGTAGATCTTATCTTGGTACATATTTATAGAGTATAATTTTGCCACAATTAAAAAGAAGGTTATCATAACATAAATGGCTAAATGGTATTTATAAGGCCTATTCTTCAAGCAGCAATTAAAAGTGCACTACTAGGGGACACCCTAACACACTCACTGACAATAACTGAAATGCTAAGAACTATTTAGTAAGATAATAATTATTGTTTCTCATTTTGGACAGCAAAGCAACAGTCCTACCCTTTCAGCTTATTTAATTTCTGTCTATATGCAATGTGAATGGATGTTAATTTATACATAAGGTGGGGAGAGCAAGTTGCCAATGTTTATTCCAAGAAAGCATATGATCTGTAAGCTTTATGATCTCAAGTTTATCATATGACAGGGTTCATTTTTGTACCATGTGGTAAGAGAACAAGAAAGTCAGCAGCTTGGTATGCTGACACTGCAGCAAAACATGATTTTAATTAACTCATACAGAGGACACATTGAGGGAAAAGTGACATTTCATTGAGGAATATATTATTAAACACAACCCTCCTTGACCTGCCACTATGATAGTAGGTGCTGAAAACTGTGTGACTGGGTAAAAGACTCTCTCTGTGTCCTTTAACCCAGGGGCATATGGCTTATTTGCACAAACATTTATTTCAGTCCTTTCTCAGTACCTTGACATCTGAGTACTGAGTATCTTTGTATTTCCTCAGAGAATAAAACACTGATCCTTAATGAAATTAAAGGAGTGCCACTTTGCCAGAAAAAGTGTAGTGATAGAGTAGAAAAGTTTCCAATTACTAAATTCCTAATAGGTCACACAAAGTGTTTTATTTTTGTTCAAACATTTCCTTGGGAGAACCATGATTTTCCTTGTTTTTAACAGTTTTCTGTTTGAAAATTAGTATTAATAATATATTACTCAAATTTCCATGTTATTTAGGGCTTCTATCCGCTGTGGGTATAAGGGATACATTTATTCTAGAAAATCACCAAAGTCCTTCTCACTGTGATTGTCCCAATACAACCTGCATACCTGTGAGATCCCTGCGGCCTTTAACAGCCACTAGGAAAATTCTTTGTCTTTTCAAAAATTCTTCCAAAACACATAGATCTTTTATCCATGGATTTTGCTTGCATATCAATAATGGCTTCATTTTGATACTGTAATTATTTAAACGTCTCTATTTTCTATAAAAATTATGTACTTTCTACCTTTGCTGTAATAAGTACAAATCTATTCAGCCCTTACACTATTTATTGAATTAATATGTTCATGAATTAGAGCATATGAAATAAGCTAAAGTGAGCTAATAACATGCATTCATGAAAAACATTTTTCTTTTATATTGTTTATACTGTCATAATGTGTGAGACATTTAGTGTATGACAAGCCACTAACATTTGCATAGCTTTGTTAATAATAAACATAGACAAATTTGTAAGTTGCTGAATGCCTGAATGGTCAGATAACCTAAAATTGCCATTAGTAATCACAAGGCATGTGACAACAAGGGCTTGAAATTCTATTGCAACCCCATTAAAATAGGAGACGCTAATGTTTGAATAACTGAAGTAGAAGAGAGATTATGTTGAACAGGAACTTCTTAAGAATCATTACAAGTTCATTTACAAAGTGAACTACTAGGAAACTCTTGAATATATTTTGTTTTCTAATTTCCCTTAAGCAAACTGGTATTTGAGTTGAAGACTGACGCGGCCTACACTCTGCAGTCAGGAAAATTCGAGTAAATTCATGACTTAATTTAAATTTCTGACCAACTCACTAATTTTAATTTTACAATTTCATTATGTGTGAAGAAATAAATTGCAGTCATGAGCTCAAGCAACAGAATAAGCTCAAGTTGCTTCTAAGAAAAAGTGTCACTGAGGACATTCAGTACTTTTTTAATCTTGCTTGCATGAATATGCTCATGCAGGAAGTCGAAACCATTCTTCATAGATAGTTTTCTGCTACTTCTAACCACATTTAAAATGATTAAGAAGTCGTGGTGAAAATTACTGAGAGACAAATAGAGGAGAGACTAGTAATGGTAAATTATACTATTTCATTTATTGATTGAGTCACCACATAATTTTTAGATTATTGCTCTCGACTAGTCACAAAAGATGATTGACAAGCATTTGAGAGTTCCTACTCTACATAAATGTTAGTTTGTTACATAGCCAGGCATTGCTGTGCTACAAGTCAGATATAAATCCAGTCCAATCATTTCAGCTGTTCATTTAAGCCATTTACCCGTGTCATGCTTGTGTGTGTGTTGTGTGTGTGTGTGTGTGTGTTTCCAGGTTGTCACATAATTGACATGAATGGAATAGAACAACAGAACACCTACTAAAGTCAAGATAAAGGACAAAGGAAGGCCAGAAGTTATTGGTCATTAGCATCTTGTATGCATACAAGGTAAGTGCTTGAATCAACAATAGAAAGTATAGAAAGATTATTGGATACTACAGGGTAGAGGGTGGAAGTTGCAAATGTAGAGGTGGGAAAGCTACTTTATGAAAGGCTGAGAAGTCTTTAGTACCCTGTAACTGACAATGTGCAGTTACAGAAGATGTGTAATTTAGGATGCTAGAGGTGCAGGGTATAAGCTTGGCAGGGTTAAATCTAGAATCATGAAAACAATTATAGGGGAATTCCAGTTAGCAAAAGAGATGCCAAGTGGCTAAATGAGGCAAGTGTCTTTGAATAATATTGGTGAGACTGTTGGAGAAACATAGCAATTAATTGTGGATCTTACTAATGTCCATTTAAAAATCTTCATTGAATCCAAAAAAAAATGTTTGAACTCCATAGTAAGCAAGATGTAGAAAGGATAAGCAGAACCTCAGAGAATCTCCATTTTATAGAGAATAATAATGCTGGCATCACAGTTGGATATAATCATGATGGTACTAGGTTTTGTGGGTTCAGACATTCCGTGTTCACTGTAATTGCTGATAATGGACACTCTTTTCTCATATCAGCCTGACCTAGTGCTGGCCCCTACTTCCTTATTATTCCCCAACTCAATCTTTCTGAAAAGTCTTCCTAGAGTCTTACATAGCAAACTCATCAAACAGATTACCAGCCCTTATCCATGTCTTTTCTTGAGTTTGTCCTCTCTGAATTATCACTCTCTGCTCTAATCAGACAAAACCAGGTACCTGACAATTAAAGATTCCCTAATGAATCAGCTATGCTCATAAAATGAGTTATTCAAACCAAACAACTAGAAGCCTTCTCAGTATTCCTCACATGTACCATCAGTTGCTAAAAATGTTGAGAGCTATCACATACCAACTTCCCCACTCTTTGCCTCATCGTGGATCCAGAACTACTGATGTAGTCAAGATGTTGGCAGAATGCACACCTTCATATTGGGAAGTGTAAATAGTAATGTATATGTTCAAAACCACTTACATCCTGAACTTTTAGCCTTCCTGTATTTCAAAATTTTAATCAATACAACTTTTACAACTTAAAAATACATTGACTAGGAAATGGCTACAAGGAGGTTTGTTTTTTAAATTTCATTTTCATTTTTCTAAAGTAAGGGTTATACATGCTTAATAAAAGATTGGTGGTAACAAAAAATAAAGAATTAGAAAGGAACCTAAAACAATTCATATATGGAATGAGGCCTGGGAGATGTCTAGAAACAAAGGAATAGATGAAGAAACACAAAGCACATACATCAAAGGCTTGTATTTACTTGGATCAAAGTTAAAAACATTTGTTCTTCAAATGACATTATTAAAAAAGGAGAAGGCAAGCTATGGCATAGGGAAAATACTTGCAATAAAGTTATCAATGAATAAATTTGTATTCATAATATATAAATCACTCATAATTCAATAATAGAAGGTTAGAAAAAATCCATAATAAAATGAAAGAAAGATTTTACATAAGAATAAATATAAATATCTATTGAGCATGTGGAAATATCATTAGAAATGAGAGTAATGCAAATTGAAAGTATTAGAGACAACAAACATTTATCTCATGTCTTTTGGGGCTGAGCAAGCAGGTATGTCTGACCAGTGTCTCTGAGCACACTGCAGCAGACAAACTGTTGCTAGGGAGTCCAGGCTCAACTGAAGTTGCCCCGTGTAGATTTTATTCCAGACTCTCTGTATGGACCTCTGAGCTGAAAGCCTCAGGTCTTCAAGGATCCTGCCAATATGGCTTCCTGGCAATTGGCATCTCCTAGGATGAGTGTTTGGGGGAAGAGCTCAGTAATTAGACAAAAGCTTCCTACCCAAAGCTACCCATATATGAAACTAGAATTGATTGCTTAAATCTAGAGTTACATCTTAAAGTAATCCACACATCATATACTGATAACACCAATATCAAATCTGGGATCAAATCACTATACCTGTCTCCCAAATGCTGGAAAGTGGGTCTAAGAGCAAATCACTGAACCGGTCACTGGCAGCCATCTCAAAGGCTGCAGATACTGATGTATTGTTGGATTTGATCCACCAGGATATTGTTTTCTTGTATAGTCAGGTTTTTGTCAGGTGTAGGATAGAACATATGGAAGTGAGTTTGGGAGTGTGGAGCATTCTCTAGTTTTCCAAAAGAGTTTGGTTATTTTTAATGTGGAATATACCTTGAATATTTTATGACTTTTACCAGAAAATTAGCATTTCCAGAAACCCTAGACTCTCTTTGATGGGGTGGATATTTATATTTTAAAAGTGAGCAAATACATGGAATTAGAGAAATTGCTCAGCAGTTAAGGTCATTTGCTGTTCTTTCTGGGACCTAAGCTTGATCCCTAAACATTAGAGTCAGGAAACTCACAACTACCTGTACCCCCAACTCCATTGGATCTGATACCCTCTTTTGGCCTCTGCCTCACCTTCATAAAAGCATAAAGACACACACACAATGAAAATAATTCATAAAATTTATTGAATATAAACTTGCTCATACTATTTTAATGTGTGTGGATTTGGGCAATTTATATCTTTCACAAACTTAATTTTATGTACATTATTAAATTTTTATAACTGTAAGAATAGTGAAAATAGCGACTTTCAGACCACTAATATGAGTCTTATCTATTTTTTCTTGATTTATCTTTTTGCCATGTTTTTCCTTTTGAGACTAGATCATAAATGTTTCCCAGACAGGCTTCAAACAGGTGGTTTTCCTGCCTCAGCATCCTGGGTGCCTGATTTATAGGCCCTTGTCACTGTGTCTTTCTCTGTGACATTTTTTTTCTTGAAGAGTCAAACTAAAATTTACCTACGTATTTAGCTGTTCAAATAGCTGTCCTTAAATTTTTTTGTTACTAACTCTTGCTTGCCCTTTTCATGTATTGATGTCTTTCTTCTTTGCTTGTACAATTTCTCAATGTGAAAGAATAGTTTTAACACCCATGATAGGTATCACCTGGGTTGGTGATATAATGCTTTCACCCCCCTCTTTGGCAATTTCTGGTGAACATTTTGGCTTTTCTAGAATTCCTATTTAATTTTGAGTGCTCTATTGTATTTTTCTGGCAGTTTCAAGATTCTCAATATCAGTAATCGTTACAAGTTGGGCTACACCATCAGGCTTGGTGAGCATTTTACAATCTACAGGTGACATTCTGTAGATTTCCCAGATTTCTTCATAATCAGTAAAACTGAAATTAAATGTGTAGAGAATTATTCAAAGAGAGGTGTAACCTTGGTAAGTTTCTTTTACTCATGTTAATTGCTCTCTTTTGGCTATCCTGTACCAACCATGGCAGGCAACTAGACATGTTGCAAGGAACACAAACATTTCCAATGGTCAGATGCGGTCTAACCTTTAGCAAGAGAGTTTCTTTAGAATTCTGTACTGGCACTAGAGTCTCAGCAGCCAGAGCTTCTTGCTTCTGCTCATCACTAACTCTTTGCCAGCCCCAGCACATTTGGGTCCATAGATGACAAATGCTATTTGAATCCAGAAGGTGAATGAAACCCAGAAGCAGGCTTTCATGCAAATTAGTTCTGCTTCTAATATCCCTGACTTTATTAAGCCTTTATGTAAGAAGTTTAGAGTAAACCCTGTCAAGACAATGGGATATTTGTGGAAAGACAATAGCCACAAGGCACTAAAATAATCACCAAAAAGAAAGAGTGACACCTCAAAGCAAACACATAATGGGGGTCTTCACTTCCAACCAAAATTAAATGCAAGAATGGTTTGTGTGCTTACCGAGATTATACAGTCTTGGCTTTTTGAGGTGACAGCAGATGGTCCGATAAGAAGTGGCAGGACTAAGTGCAGGCAAGCAGCGTCGCATCTCAGGCTCCTTTAACCATGAAATCTACGAATTTATGCTTCACAGAGCAACAAGGGAAAAGAAAAACATTAGAAGTGTTAGGGAGAAGCACAGGGTCTGGTCACACCTTGTATTTCTCAAGACAAGCATCTTATCTTTTACCTTTTGACAAAGAGTGTGTGCTTTTTTGACTTTTCTTAAAATGTCACTCATCAAAAATTTGTCACTTACACATGCTTGCACTGTTTCGTTTACTTTTAGATACTTTGTGGCTTGGCTTAGAACATTTTTATTTCTAATTTCCAAGCTCCAGATCCTTAGCCAAGTAAGCATCAGTTCTGACTTTATTTTCCAAATTCTATCATTCTTTAAATATCATTTGGATGATTTCCAGTGCCCCATGGGTTTGAATGTTTTTCTCTTTTGTTTTTAGCTGGGAATGGGGGGTAAGACATGGCCATACTCTTTTTAACCAGAAGTATGCACATGGAGTGCTGAAACATTAGTTTAAGTTGTTATCAGATAATGATGTGCCTGAAGAAAAACAAATAGAATGTATTTGGTGTATTTGTTTTAAAGAATTTAAAAACCAATTAAACATGTTGAATAATAAACAATTGTGGCCAATTCCTTTGCCTTTGTTTTCTATTTTAAAAATAATTTCTTGTTTAAAAATATTATAATGGAACTACAAAGAACTGCCTTCATCACATACCATACACCCTGATCTTAGATACATTGCAACAGTGACTGTCTTCTATCTCCTGAGGCAATACTCCCAGGCCAGGTGTATGAAAAGTAGAGAACAGTCTGTATTTCCCAAGAAAAATGAAATGACATCATATAACATAGAATCCAATACATGTTTTAAATTTATATATTTTATGAGTTCATGCATATGTGATGTACATTTATCGTACCCCCCATTATCTCGTATTCTCCTTCCCATTTTCCCACCAAACTGAAACTAACATGAAGGAGGAATAGGTAGAATCCCTTGGATGGTGCTGTGTTTTAAAAACAAGCAAAATAACCAGACATCACTGAGCAGATGAGGTGAAGTGGTCACTGTAACAACAAAGGACTCCCAGATGGTGGCCTCGTGAGCATTAGCTGTGCCAGGTGTGTAGATTCCTACAATCTTAGCACCTGGAAAGAGGAGGCAGTTTCATGAGCTCAAGAATAGTATGGGCTGCCTGGTACTAAATCAAACAAGGGAGGAAGAAGGAAGAGAAGAAGGAAGGGGAAAAGGAAAGAAGGAAGGAACAAATGAATGAATGAAAGAACAGAAGTTACTGTATTCATTCAGTTGATAACAATTGCCAGATAGACATTACCCAAAAATATAACTTGATATACTCTATAGGATGTGCGGTGTATATCCAAGTGTAAATAAGTCACTAAGCTAGTGCAAAGATATAACAATTTAAAACTTACAACTGAAAGTATGTACTAAGTGTATTCTTGCTAACACATTTTCTTATTTTGCAATGTCAGATTCAAACCAAAGTTTTTGCATGCTCTAAGTAAATGCTTTAACATCTCTGTGTAACACAGCTACATTGCTAGCTGCACATACACAACTTCTTATTTAATAGTCAAATGTTCAAGAAAGTGTCAACCTATTCCTGACATGATTATTTTAATGTTTGAGCTTGTTTTGGAATTTTTCTTTCACAATATTTTAAATCTCATAGTGTCCTACAACTCACTAAACCACTCATGCTAATGTCCCTGCCCCTGAAATAATTCCTGTGGCTCAGCCCATCAGGTGTTGGGAATATAGATATTAGTTACCGTACCTATCTTTTATTTTTCCGAGAGCTGTATTTATGGGAAGTAATATGTTTGATTTTTTATTTTACTTTAGGAATCTTGAATAATCATAAAAAATGGCTTGAACATAAAATAGAGTTTATTATGGCTTTCAAGTGTCTTTTTACTCCATGGAATTATTTTGCAATTTGAAGATGTATTTTATGATCATATTTATTCTAATATCTAATATATATGAATATTTAGTATATTGTATTTAGGTTACTTTGTTCTTATTATTATTTTGTAATTACTACCCCATTTAGCCATGAAATGCTAGAAAGTGGAAAAATGTTGACAAAACAGAGCAAGCCTGAATAACTTGTCTTGTTGTGACCTAATACAAGGACAATCTCAAGAACATAAGAGAGAATGCAGAAAGTCTGGGTGTCGATTCACAGGTTTCTTTCAAAAAAGCTTGAAATCTACAAGTTTTCATTCTTTTTCCAGTCATATGGTGCCATTTACCAGTTAGACAAGGGAAAGACTCATCCATACATTTCTATCCATCACCCACACTCCAAAGATGAAGATGAAATTCATCTATGTGAAACCTTAGGCCAGACTGCCCAGATGACTGTTCAAACACAAGATACTATGAGAACCACAAGATGTTCTGAAGCCAAAATAAATCATGACGTTTCCCTAACTGTTCAGACAATAAAAAGACCTTTATCCTATGATATTTTGCAGCAGGAATTTGGATAAATTCATTTGTGAATAACAATCAAATCTCTGGTGAAGCAATTCTGCAATCTGCAAGGATGTGCATGCATATATGCAACATACAAGGAAGTCTGTGAATCATTAAACTCCTCTTACAGTTATTTTATTATCATTTTGTTCTCACATCTATAAATTATTACAAAGGAGCATTAAACTGTTACCTTATAAGAGTCTGTTAGATTCAGGTAGCAACTGATGAGGTGAATTATTCTTTAATAAAAGTTCCTTTCCAAAGGATGTAAAAAATGTAATGACATCTTACAAGATCTTTCAATAATTTCCACTAGTCTTTTACTAAGAAATACCTTACATATAATGTTTGAGGGGAACCTGGTTACCTAAGGTAAGAAAAATACTTCACCTCTAACTGAACCCTGTTATTTTCATTGGAGCACTTTACTCGCAGATATTACCAATTAATGTTGCACAAAAATAATCTCACAATTGCTAAGCAGAAAAACACTGTTCCTTTGACTTCATGACCATTGGTCAAGAACATATTTTTTCATTGAAATAGCAAAAATAATGAATCAACTGTTGAATCTATATTCTGGTTTGGAAGAAAATTTTATTTTGAATTAATGACCTGCTACTATACTTCACTGATAATCCCATGAGTATTATAATATAGTAGGTTCAACACTCTTCTGGTAAAAATGAAGTGTGTATTTTGGCTAAATATCAATGTCTTTTTCATATGAGTGCCACCAATACTGATTGTTCTTTTTTGCCTATGTATGAGTTTTAACACAAAAGTAATAGGTGAAAACTGTAGTTTTGTTCAAATCAATTTCTATCTTTCTAGTTAATCATGATCATTTTATAATTTGAGTTATATGAGATGCAGACATGGCTCAATGTTAATTTTTTTGCATTTTTCTCTTATTCTAATATTTCCTAGTGAAAATCATAAAGTAAACATCAGTTATGTGAAAATCAGAAGTAAAACCAGCTTCTCTAGTGCATTTTAGACCAACATGGTAAATGCTATATAATTCATTCCAATGCACATTTAATTTTGTGTGCACTTGGTTGAATAAAAATGCTTATCACCTGACTGATCTACCAAGTCTAAGCAAGGAAGGGTTAACTTCTGGAAATCAAAGTATGCAATGTATACTTCCTGTGCCTATTGGAGAAGGAGTTCATGTAAACTCAATCTCCACTCAAATTTTCCTTAAAACTAAGATCGCTTTTCACAAAAGGGCTATTTATTTAAAATAATACCTATATAAAATCCACAAAAAATAATCACTATTAATAAAATGTTGTTCAAGCCAGCGACAGTAAGAAGTATTCAGTGGACATAAAAATATGTATGGGCAGATACATATTTTTGGGTGAGCTAAAGTACCCCTATGTCATAAAGCCAATATAAATGAACAAAAATTCATATGCCACTTAGGAGGTTTATAAGGTAACCAATGACCATAGCAGAAGAAAGATATGCAAACATACTTAGCCAGCAGGGGAATTCCAGTGTGAAAAAACTAGTTGTCTTCAAAGGAGCTGAAAGACCACCGTCAACACTAAATGCTGGCAGAGATGGGAGGAACTGGATGGCTGATGGGAATGTGTATGGCTATGGCAATGTCACAGGATCATTTGACAGACTAGTTTCTCTTCACAAAATAATTTGTACTCTGAAATTTAAAAAACAAAAGAAAACGCTATTAAATATGTAATTTTAAATGAATCTTATAAAATATTTGTTCTATTAAAAGCATTTAATATATAAGAAGAAATTCTGTGCTCTGTGACTTTATATGGTGTGTCTGAATATTCAATTATTCTCACTGATTGTAAAAATCAAATATCACCATTAGTATGATGGGGAATGGCATAGACTTAGCAAAAGGAGTCGAGGAATTATTTTGCTTGTGGAAATGTTTTCCTTCTCTTGATGATAGCCTGATTCAATGATTAAATTAATCGTGCTTGCTACATTCAATTCTTATTTTCCTTTTTTAATTTTAAAAACAGTCTTATTTTACGTACCAATCCTATTTCCCTCTCCCTCCTTTCCTCCCACTGCATGAGTCAATCCTCAGAAAGGATGAGTCCTCCCATGGGGGATCATCAAAGTCTGTCACATCATTTGGGGCAGGACCTAGGCTCTCCTTCCTGTATCTAGGTTGAGCAAGCAATGGACTCCAAAAGCCAGTTTATGCACTAGGGATAAATACTGGTTTCACTGCCAGTGGCCCCATTGACTGTCCAAGACCCCTAACTGACACTTCATTAAGGGGGCCTGGTTTTGTCTTACACAGGTTTCCAAGCAGTCAGTCTGGAGTCAGTGATCTCCCACTTGCTCAGGTCAGGTGTTTCTATGGAGTCTCCCAACATGGTCTTGACTCCTCTGTCTCTACAAATGGACTCAAAGAGTTTGGCTCATTGCTTAACTGTGAATCCTTGCTTCTTTCAGCTATGGGATAAAGGTTTGATGATGGCATTTAAGATATTCATCAATCTGATTATAAGAGAAGTGCATTTAAAGTACCCTCTCCACTATTGCTTAGATTCTTAGTTGGAGTCATGCTTGTTGATTCCTGAGAATTTTCCTAGTGCCAGGTTTTACGTTAATACCATAATGACTCCTTCTATCAAGGTATCTCTTTCCTTGCTCTTCTTCTCTGTCCTTCCCCCAACTCAACCTTCCCTGATCCCTCATGTTCTCCTCCCACCTTCCATTCTTCTCTCCCCTCTTTCCTACATCTCTCCCCTCCGCCATGCTCCCAATTGACTCAGGAGATCCTGTCTCTTTCCTTTCTGGTTGGGGGGTGACTGGGTCCATATATGTCTCTCTTATGGTTTTCCTTTTTTCCTAGCTTCTTTTGGGTTGTGGATGCTGCATTCATTTCTTAAAGCCAACATTATTTTCCTGTTAAGGGTTTCTATTTCTGTGAAATGACACCATGACCACGACAACTCTTATAAAGGAAAACATTTAATTGGCACTAACTTATAGTTTCAGAAATTTAATCAGTTACTTTCATGGTAAGTGACATGGCATAGCTTGAGCACAGGAGACTTCAAAGGCCATCCCCACAGTAACACACTTCCTCTAACAAGGCCACATCTACTCCAAGAACAGACCTCCTAATAGTGCCACTTCCTATGAGGTCATGGAGGCCAATTACATTCAAACCACCCCAATTACTGATTCTAATAATTAAACTGAATACATGTGTGCATTTCATATCTGAACCACACTAAAATCAAAATAGACATAAATACGAATGCTAAGATAATCTTATTAAAGGTAAATTTTCTTTTGAAAAGAGTTAACATTGAGTTATATGCTTTTAAGCTGATGTTTAAATAATGTATGGATTATCCCTATAGATGTTTCTAAATTATATGATTAGCATATGTATTATATTAGTTTTTCACAACTATATATAAGAGCAGTAAAGTTACAATGACCTGTTACCAGGTGATGGTATGATTCCATCAAACTCTGCCAGCTTATGAATTTCCTTACATTTACAAAGTGGCTGATGAAGTTCAAGTTTAAAATGAATTCTCTCTCTCATGAAATACTCTGTGATAATGTAACAACACTAAAATATAGATTACCAAGAATTATCATGAATCTCCATATCAGATAAAGGATATATACATTTTAGTGGTACTTCAAGGACTCCTTTGGAGGTAGGCTTAAAAAAAATGAAGAAGGATTTAGATAGCTGACTTAGCATTTAAGAGTTCATTCTGTTTTTCCAGAGGACCCTAATTCCTTTCCCAGCATCCAGGAAATCTAGTATCTTATCCTGGCCACTACAGACACCCACAAAAGCAGGTATGACATAGACATGTGAGTGCTTACATACACACACGCACGCACACACACACACACACACACACACACACACCACCTAAATAAAATGAATCCTTAAAAGCATAACATGCTGAATTAAGGTTTTGTTCCCTGTATAAGGAGCATATAACTTCATTCTCTCTAGTTCTGTGTAGATTTGAGGGAGAGCTTCAAACTACTGCTGTGTGAAGGTTTCCAGTTAGTTCTTATTTGCTGATGTTTCACAAATATACTAAAAAATCCACAAGCTCTTGAAATTAGCTTTGTTCTTTCCGCACATTTTATATGCATATTGTTGTTGCTGTTTGTTTTTCAAGACAGGGTTTCTCTGTGTAGTCCTGGCTGTCCTTGAACTTGATCTATAGACCAAGTGAGCCTCACACTCACAAAGATCTGCCTTCCCAAGTGCTGAGATTAAAGGTGTGCACCACAACAGCCAGCAAATGTGTACTGTTTCCCCCAAACACAGGGTTTCACTGTGGTGTACTAGCTGTTCTAGAATTTGCTTTTAGACTAGGCTGACCCCAAATTCAGGAATCCACCTGCCTCTGCCTCCTGAATGATGGGGCAGAAGCTTCCATTTTAGAGTCTAGATAGATACTTAGGAGATAATATACTTGCTGTGCAGACATATGGGTTTGAGTTTGGAACCTTATACTTATTTAAAAGCTTGTGGTTGGTGACTGGAACTACAGTGCTGGACTTACCATATATAGAATCTCAGAGTTTGATGGCCTTGAGCTAGAAGTCATGAATTGGAGAAGGATTTAGGAAGACAACAATATCTACCTTTTGCCTCTACACATGCACATGCACACACAAGCACACATATGAATATAAACAAAGCTATGTGTAGCTTACAGATCACAGACATGGCAAAATGGAAGCTGTCCTTTAATATGCTAATAGGTTTTAATACACATCAGCAAAAATATATACCACCTGAAGTTCAGACTTATTTTCCTGGAGAGTCTTTTTCATTTTAAAAATAATCTTATTTTACACATCAATCCCTCCATTCCCTCACCCTCCCATCCTCCTGTGCTCCCCACCCACTCCCCAAGGATAGTGAGGCCTTCCATGGGGGATCATCAAAGTCTGTCACATCATCAATAGGGGGAGGTCCTAGGCCCTCTTTCATGTATTTGGGCTGCAGTAGTATCCCTCCATAAGAATGGGCACCCAAAGTCCATTTGTGCACTAGGGATAAACACTGACTCCAGCTAGGAGGTCTATGGGACTGCCCTCACCTCTTAGCTGGCACCCACATTCAGAGGGCTTGGTTTGATCCAATTTTGGTTCCCCAGCTTTATGACTAGGATCCCTGTGCTCTCAATAGGTCAGGTCAACTGTTTCGGTGGGTTTCTCCAGCACAGTCTTGTCTCATTTGCTCATCCCTCCTCCTTCTCTACAAATGGATTCCAGGAATATGTCTCAGGGCTTAGCTGTGGGTGCTTGCTATCACCTAGCTTCTGTGTGCTTAGGAATGCAATATTTTGCAAAGAAAATATTTAATTTTCACTAATGTCTATAATTCCCTGCTTTCTGTCTCTGTCCATTTCCATTCTTTATCTATCCCTCACCTGAAGCAGTTGACTAGGTCTTTCTTAGAAAAGTCCTTGATACAACCTTATCTATATACGGCACTGTTTGACCACACCTCATTCTGCTTTTTTTCCATTTTGAATCTGATTAGCCTCTTGGAAATAATGGAAAGTACCAAGTCCCACCTCAGCAAATACAAAATGCACAAATTAGATCATCTGTGTTGTTCAGAAACTACCAAAGATCATAGAACACTATCCTTTCGACTGGGATGGAAATATATCCCCACTGCCACAACACTGGTAGTATGTAGTAGTGAGTTTGTCCTCAAACTAATTGTGACATTTCAAAAGCCACCAGCTGAGCAGTAGTTTTGTCATCAGATGTAGCTTTTGAGAATACAGGTACTTTTGGTCTTCTTCATAGTAGTCAGAGATATTTAGGGGGATTACTTTAAGCCTTATGTAGTTTCCCCTTTGTATTACTTCTGACTTGTTAGTTGTCACTTCTTGTCCATAGCCTTGTCAACACATATCACATTCTCTTGACACCTAGATTGCTGGAATGCTTCAAGAATGGAATGAAAAATAAAGTCTATTGAATTTCTATCTAAACATGATATTGCACCCAGTTAAAGGATATAAAGGTTCTAATTCAAATGAACTTTTTTAATATGGTAAGTTTTGTGGTGTTCCTATTCAATCCCCAAGGGTAACTTTACAATTACTACTAGACTTTTAGTTGTGTTTCAAGGAAATTAGACTGTTTGTGAGATGAAATATGAGTAAGGTTATTTGCTGCCCATTGAAATACATGTTCTGTTTTCATGACTCTCAACTTTCCCATATGGCAGATTCTTTCCACCTTGCTTCTAAAAGAAGTGGCAGATTTCACTGATGTTGTAAATTAAAACAAATATTAATTTAAATGAGTTGTAATTTAAGCACATTTCTGATCAATTGTATTTCTGTTTTGATATTCTCCTCTATTTTTTCTTTAGTTGAAAATCATCTTTTTCATTCAAAACATACTGATTATTGTTTCCCTCACCTGACTTCTCCAAGGTCCTCCCTACCTACCCTCCCATCCAAACTCACACCCTATCTGTCTCTCATTAGAAAACAAACAGGTATGATAAAATAACAAACAAATTGAAATAGGATGAAAAAAAGCCATAATGAGCTCAAATATCAAGCTACAATGGTATTACACATGATAATGCAGGAATGTGAAAATCTCTAGTGGTCCCATCACTAGAAACATAACCAAAGACAATTA